CTGGGGGGGTGGGGGGGGCTAGTTAAATCTAGTTAAATTTCTAAACAAAAATCGTTTCACAACAAAAAGTCAAAAGGTTTTGTTTTGAAAATGTTGAAACAAATCATTTTGACTTTTCTAATTTTGTTTTCTTTTTTTCTCAGTCCAAACTGCATTTTTCAGCGAATAATCTATTCATCCAAAACATGTTGCCCAGCTCTCCAGATGGGTTTTCTACCAGAGCACAATATTGCAGACTAAAGGAAATGAACTTTTTCCTGCTGAACACCCCAAATCAAGAGAGGCTTAAGGGAAAGACTTGTACTGATTTACCAATATCTCTGTATCTAGGGTTTCTACATGGTACTTCCCGTTATAATCTTTCCTTTATGCCCTGCCCTCCACTTGCCTCTCTTTGCACAATAGAGAGAGATATCATGGCCCATTTCATTTTAGTATCAATTTTCATTTTTAGATGTCATACCTGTTAAGGTTGGAGGTCCAGAATTCTGGAGGTTTTATGCAAATGATGTAACCTAATTTGCATACTGCATGAATTATTTTATTTACTTGAATGACAGCGAATGTCTGGATGATCAAAACTTAAGCATTAGAAGGCTGCAGCAAGGGATGAGTTTTAAGAACATTAGGACTACAATCCTGATTGGCTCTGGTATCTCCCTGGGTTAGTGTCTAGATAACTCTGGTAGTGCCCTAAGGCTCTGGCCCTCTCTGCTCCTTGTCCCAAATTGGGTACAGTGCTGTGGTTGGGTTGCTAGCCCCTGATACTGGCTGCTGCTTGCCCTGTGTTGGGAGGATGATCTGGCTACTTCCTGCCATCAGCTGGAGATGCTTCAGCCAGGCTGCTAGCACCTGGCTGGGCGACTAGCTCTGCCTACTGCTACTTGGCTGGGGGGCTCTGGCTCAGGCTCTGCTTGTTACTCCCTGAATACAGCTCACAAGTCCCTGTGGCCAAGGATTACTGACCAGAGCAGTGCCTGTGAATCAGACCCGCAGCTGGAGTAGAGCTGCTCTCTCAGTTCCCATGACTCACCCCTCGAACAGAGCCGGCAAGGACTCATCATTCAGGCAGCCGCAGCACTCTGCTGCACTGACTCACCCTCTAAGTAAGGCCCTACTTAATTAGCGGTATTGCGGACATTGAGGATCCTGCAATATTAGGTTTCCACCACAATTTTTATTTTAATTCGCTTACTTTGCGCAGTTCACAATTTTGTATACATTTTGAGGTTTGCAACACACACTCTTTCCCCCATTAGTACAGTAGAACCCCATTGGTGACTAGTGTCCTTGGTTGGCCAACAACTGCTCTGACTGACCTGCCACAGTTTTGATATATTTGCTCTCAAGTTATCAGCTTGTCACTTTGAATTGCATCTATGTACTGTATGGTTATGAGAGAATGCCAGAAGGTTCAGAAGCTTAATCTGAAAGTTTGTCTGTAGTTTATCTGAACGTCTCTTTTTCTAGGAAAGGGTTTAGAGGTCTCCTGAGTTCAGACACCTGGACAAGGTGTCTAGCGCTTCCTGGTTTCGGCCTTGTTGCTGCAGTCCTGAAGCCTTACAATTCCAACTGCTCTGCAGGGTGAGTTCCATTGAATAACACCAAGTTCCTTTTTTAAAAAAAACTCACTTCTGGCAGGTGAGGTAGAATTTTAAGGCTCTCAGACGGCAATGCTTTGAGGATATCTTTTCATGGCATTTTGGTATCTGAATTTCCTTATTTTACTTAGCCTAGCTTGTTAATGTCTGGTCTCTGTCTTGTGAGATTTCATTAATGAGCTCTGAGACCCTTGGGTGAAAGGCATTGTAGAAACAGAAAATATGGTTGTTCCTGTATTAAGTTGCTGTGTTTAAAATGGATCAGATATTATCATCTCAATGTGGTCAGTGCTATACAAAGCAGAGCAGAAGACATTGTCTCTGGTTCCAAAGAGCTGACATTGGACTGGTCCTACCTACATCATGCTGAAAGCCTTCAGTTTGTATTGGCCATAACTGGAGTTAAGGGCTTTTAGCACTTCTCAGGATCAGGCCTTGAGTTAAAAATCCATTGAGACCTAATATAGCATGGCTAGAGGAAGGTCAATCTATAAAGTTGTGTGGACATCTGTCTCTCTTTGGTGGATCATTGTGAAGAGCCTTCACAGAGTATACGGCAGCAAAGATTTGAAGGAAGACACAAATCATTTGGTACCCAAGGAAAGGGAATGAGGGAATTCTAAGTAGAAGAAACAGCATGGAAGAAATCATGGAGCCAAGAATGGGTGAAAGTAAAGACAAGGAAGTTTTGGACAGGAAACTGAGCTGCTTTTAGTTCCTGTTGGTGGGCTATCAGTCTGCTACTGAATGTTCTAACTCTATTTAATGGCACATGAAAAGTGAGACAGAACGCAGTTGCCCTTCTGATCAGCAATGACATGGAAGTTTCTCTGCTCTGCCTGCTAATGCAGCAACATCAATATACAGTTCCTGTCTGAACTGCTGTGTCATTAGGAAAAAGGAGAGCACAAACTGCAAATTAGCGGAGGGGTGTTTGAGGGAAGGAGGGAGAGGAAAAACGCTCTGCAGTCGATTAAGAGCTTTGCCTTTCAAGAAATCAATCCGCAGGCGCTTGCTCAGCCTCCCGGGAACACATCACTCAATTGTTTCACGGCTGTGACCTGAAATGTGGAGTCAGAACGGCGCGAGGGCACTGCTGAAGAAGGGAAACAGCAGCCAGCAACGGCCCCCGCATGCCAGGAGGGGCTCACTGAATAATTTATAAGAGGCTAAACCATCAGAGCAGCGCACGGGTGCGGCCTATTACTCAGGCTGATTAACTCTGGCTCCTGTGCTGGACGGCTTGGCCCAATAAACGAGGCCATTTATTTATTTATTTATTTGTGTGTTGCTTCCCTAAAGGCTGTGCAGTGAGGCAGCAGTTTGGTGGAGTGCGGCTAGCAAATAACAGTCTCTGTCTGATGATTAGTGAGCCGTTCAATTGGAGATGGGTCACATGGCTGAAAGGACATGCTGGACAACCGTTCAGGCAGAGATGGCTAACTTCAAACCCCCGTTAGGCATCAGAGCCTGACAAATGTTAACTGAAGCCATATTAAATATTAAAAAGTGCATTTTTCACCCTCTCTAGAGGCCTAAACAGAAGAAATGGCACCAGGCCACTCATTTGGGGTCTGATCTAAAGCCCAATGCTGGGAATAAAAAGATGCCCATTGACTCCAGTGGGATTTGGATCAGGTCCTTTAGTTCTTGTCAACATAGAGAACCATGAAGCAGTGTTTTAAATGTCTTCAGTGTGTCCAAATCACAACGTTCTGATCCATATTTTGGACACCCTAAAAATCTGGGGTTGTCCCAGCCTATCTCTAGTATTGGTGGAGTTTCACTACAACTGAGTTTACGATAAGTCAGTTTCACACTGGGGGTGTGTGCGTGTGGATTTCACTTGTTTTACTGTTTACCTGTCTTCTTAATAGCTGAAAAATTGTAAATTATGCGTTTTTAAAGCTAGCTGTGGTCGGGACACTGATGTCTCTAGGGTTCAGTCATGAGCTATAGAGCCCTTAGCTTCCCATTGGTAGCAACCAAAACATTTTAGCATTTGTTGGCTGGTCAATGGCCACTGTGAAATGAGTTTGGTGGGTCTCAGTCCATTTACCAGTGGCTAGATATTCACGTCACAAAAACCTCTCTCACAGCTGGCACTAACAGTCCCCCCTTTCTACCTGAGAGGCCAAAGATTGAATGAGCCATGGTGACTAAACTGTCTCCACTCCTATGGGTAGTCCCACTCCACATGAGGGGTGTGGCACACCAGCAGGAGGTTAAAGATCACATAGCATGTGACAGAGTATAAGAGTCTTAGACCCAATGCCCTAGCCAAATGCCAGCTTGACCAATTCCATTCTGCTTGTCTAAATCCCTCCTACAGTCTCAATGATACTGAACACCGCTGGCCTGATTTTCAGGGGTGCTGGGTACTCGCAGATCCCAAGGAAGCCAAGCCACTCTGCTAAGCTAGGCCACTAGTGCCCATTGGCAAAAGCAGAATAAGCAAAAATCTGTGCTACTTGGCATTACTTAGTGAAAGTCTGACAAGGAATTATCCAACGTCAATTTTGTTTCAAAAAGAACACACATCTGATTTTAAGCTTTGTGCTACAAATGGCCATTTTTGGCCAACCCACGCCCCCTTTTGGAGAGCTGCCATTAGGAACGCAGCTGTGAAGAACCACACACTCTCTGGAGGGAGGGCAGACTGCTGGCAGATCAGGACCTAAGAGCGTCAGCTGCTGTCAGCCTTTCAAACTGACCCCCAACTCAGGACACTTTTCAGAGCTCGGCAATGGCGTTGTGCAAAGGGAATAAGGCCCTGAGTTTAACTGAACTAAGGCAAGAGAGAGCATGAGTTTCAAATTTCAAAATCACTGACACCCTCAAGTTCACCCTCACTTTTTTGCCCTCCTATGTTACCTTTAATGGTCTAAGGGGCCATGCACTGGCAGAGGCATCCCACATATATACCATCCTCCATCAGGGTGCTTCAGTTCTGGCCAGGAGGGACCAACTCCAAGGCTGGGAGGGGAGTTTATTGTACCGTATTTTGGCCAACTATCTGAATAACCAGCCTGTGAGTCTTTTAAAACGTCATGACTCTTCAGATAGATTGACCAAGCTTCAACCTTCAGAGCAACGCGAGACCTGTTTTGTCTTTAACCGCTAGGTCCTACACCCTTACGCTGTGTGTGTGTAAGACAATACAGAAAAGTCAATACAGAAAAAAACAAACTTTCAGACTTTCTGAGCAATCCGCTTCATGGTGCGGCTCATTAAAAATTCACTCCGGCTTTGCAAATCTTACGCAAGGCAAATTTCAGCTGCATTTATGATAGATTTTCCCCTAAATTCATTTTTAACTATATATTCCCCAAGTGGTACCAATAGCTCGACAAATGAAATTTCTGTACACATGCCCACGTGTGTGCTGCTGGGATAGTCTCAAGCAGGGAAACTAGCTGTTGCCTCAGATGAGAGACTAGGGGGTTGGAGGTGTAAATGCATGATGGGAGATACTCTGCACTTCCCTATAACCTTTCCCTATAATGCTGGGATAGCCAGACTCTGATCTGATTGAAGATAAACCTCTGTGTGATGTAGGAGAATATTTCTCTGGTTACTGTGATTTCAGTTCTTTTTACCTTAAAATGTTTTTGCAGTTATGGAAATCTAATGTCTAATCATATTGTAAAATATAATCGCGTCAAGGAATAAATAACCTGTATTGAAGCAACCTTGTCTGCACCTGATTTTAATGAAGAGAGGCAGAAAGCAGAAAATGTAATTATCCTTCAAGACACTGTATGGAAAATGATGTTATCAGCGCAATACTCTGGACATGCAAGTGAAATTTAAACCAGCTTGTAGCCTTCTCTAAAGAGAGATCCTAAGTCAATTCCCTGATGAAAAAGACACATGAACCAACCCACTGGCTCATCTCCTGTTTTATCAATACTGTTTTAATATTTTTCTGATCTGATCACCATAGTTCATCCTGTTTTTTATTATCCTTTCAACCTTAAAGATGTATTAAACCATGGCAGGAAAAGCTGTTCTTCCACTCCAGTGCCCAGCTTCCATGCCCTCAGGGGAGCCATTCTTTATCATAATCGAGATATTTTTAGAATCCTATGTAAATACCAGTGCAGTTTAATCAAATATGAAAAATGTCCAGCTGCTATGCATTGGTCCTAGTCCTACTGACTTTCAAACATTAACCATTTTAATTTAACCTTACCCATCAAATCCTGATCAAAGTAAGAAGAAACTTGAGTGAATGGTCTATCCTTATACAATAGCAATAATATTTCCTAGATAGAATGGCTCTGTCTTTTAATTATTTTTGTAATAAAACTTACTGTAACATAGTTCAGATCTTTTCAGCAGTGCCATCTAAAGAAACTGGCATCTGACTCTTGTCCTATCTAGTATCCCCTATCAAAATAAATTATTGGAATATCTCAATTCTTCCCCACCCATCCACCCAATTTTCTTTCTTTCTTTCTTTCTTTCTTTCAATAACCAAAGACAATATGTTATTTTCTTGTAATAAAATGAGCTGATAAATTGCGCATCCTATTTTAATTCATAGGAAAGGAGAATGCGGTATATAGGAGGAAGGAAAAATATGCATATTGGTTAGCCCAGATTCCTTGAAGAAAGAAAAAGAACCTTACTAAGAGACTTTAAATATCTGCTTTCCCTCCTTCCATCCCCTTCTTTTTTTATTTTTTTTTTTAAAGTTAGGTTTAACTGTCCCATGACTGACAATACTGACTGATTTTTGCTTACCTGCCTCACCATGACCAGAAACAATGTACTCCAAGAACACAATCAGCATGATGCCTTTCTGCTGCATGTCTGTAAGGGGGGAAAATATCTGTCCTTAGTAGAGCAAAAAGAATGTCATAAATCTACAGGTTTGGTGTCTGCATGTTCTTTCTTTCTTTCTTCACCTTCTTCTCAGGGCAGGGATCCTGGCTGGTGTCTCATTCTTCTTGTTTTATTTTAAATCCAGACAGCTTTCCAGGTCTCAGATGGCTTCTGTGTGTGTGACCCACATTGCTTCCAAATAAATAAAGGAATGGGTAGATGTTACCCCTTTGCATCCAGAAAGTAGGTGAAATTCACATCTCTGACACAGCCCGGAGACAAACCATCACTGAGGAAGCAAAGCAAAGCTCAGGTCTCCGGTCAGATCTGATAATATGCAGTTATTTTACTTGCTATTTTAATCTTTCACTTTCATTTGCGGTCCTTGCTTCTTGGGTCCCCCGCCCCCCTTATCCCCTCCCTACGCCCCCTCCCTCTGCTGCTAATGGGGGTGCAATTAGGGGCCATGCACCGTTAAAACCTTGCTTTGTTATGAATTTTGTCCTAGACAGTGCGCTCTTCCCTTTTGCTCCCTGAGGCAGAGGGTCATAAGAAGAACCAAGTTTGCTTTTCTTTCTGAGAGATGATCGGACAATTACTCGTCTCTCTCTCACCCCCTTGCTGTCCCTGCTCTCACTTTTCCACCAAGGGGCTAGCTTCACAGACTGGTCGTCAAAGGGTAATAATGAAGTCACCGCTGGTGTCAATGCACACAGAATCGATTGCCCCCTTTTACTGTTCTTCTCTGCCTCCTGGGACTTGATTTGTTCCTGGAAATTATGACAGATTAGGTTCCTGGTGGAGAGGGGGTAGCATTTGGTTTAGGGGAGCTGGGGGTTCGGGAGGGGGTTGGAGGAACTATTTCTCCCTTCCATATGCCTTGCAGAAAAAAGGGGGGCGAGAGATCCTCCCTTTTGCTATCTGGACAGGGGTTTCGCCCCCTCGTTGTGCTATTTAGTTATCTTCAAGTTTTCTCTCTGTCTCCCTTCAGCTGCTGGCACATCTCTCCGTCCTAACTGGCCAGCTCTGCCCTCTGGTCCTGTCTGGCTGCAAAGGGGATTATTATAACATGTGATCTTCTTCCTGTTCTTTATATGTTTTTAGCGGCGGTGAGGCGGGGGTGTCGTTTCCACACCCCTTCGGCTGGGCTTGTGGCTGATCCTTGCTCAGATGCATGTTTTATTTGTTTGCCAGCCGCATCTGCCTCCTCCAGGAGCCAGGCTGGGTGGGGGGAGAGGTTAGAGCAGGCTTGTCACTTTCAACTCAGGCGCGCCCCAACTTTGCTCCTGTGCCTTTAAATTAAATACCCAGCATGTGAGACTGGCGGGAGGGGGGGAATCCTCCCACCAGCTGCTCGGCTCTCGCCTCTGCAGCGCCCTCTATCAGGCAGCCGGGTACATGACAGCTGCCTGCTGCAGGTCACTAACCAGACAGAAACAGCGGGGAGCAAATAGCTTCCAAAGCAAGGAGAGACCAATGAGCTCAGAGGGTAGGAGGGGATTTCAAAACAAATGGCAACGGATCTGCTAGGCCAACCTGCCAGGCAAGATGTGTACATGAGTGTGCCCTGCTTTGTTCAAGGCACAAAATGAGACAGTCCCTGCACCAAAGAACCCACAGGCTATCATAGACTATCAGGGTTGGGAGGGACCTCAGGAGGTCATCTAGTCCAACCCCCTGCTCAAAGCAGGGCCAATCCCCAGACAGATTTTTGCCCCAGATCCCTAAAAGGCCCCCTCCAGGATTGATCTCACAACCCTGGCTTTAGCAGGTCAATGCTCAAACCACTGAGCTATCCCTCCCCCCAGTTTGCAAGCAGTGCCTGGCACCAGCTTTAGAGTTCATTTGTCTTCATGGGGGCTGGCACAGGTGTAAGTTGTTCAGAGCATAGAACTCATTGCTTAAGGGCCCGATCCTGCAAACACAGCCCTGCCTGACTTGTTTTCAGGGGACTAGCGTGGGCCTGACTCTTGTCTTTCTTAAACCTACCTTGTGTCAGCGTCACTCCCTGGGCTTCTGGGGAGTTACTCTTGAGTAAAACTGCACTCCTGAGACAGAAGCAGGCCCAATGGGAATCTAAACATGAGAAAGGCAGCTCTCCTACCTGAGTGTTTGCAGGATCAGATCCTAAAACCAGAAATAAAGAATGTGTGTTACACTGGGAAACCTGGGGGGGGGGGAGATTATTTGTATATTTTTGTTTCCCCCCCTTTTTTAAAACTGCTAGAATGATGCATAATAATTATGCAAAATACTCCAGTCACCTATTATAAACCATGCGAATACTGTCCTAGGGTTCAAACTGACAGGGTTCAGTGGGAGCAGAGGATGTGCAACACCTTACGGATCAAGCTCCATATAACATTAATGGAAAGCCTTTGTTCATAATGTGTTGTTATCAGTGTTTAACATAAGAACATAAGAATGGCCCTACTAGGTCAGACCAAAGGTCCATCTAGCCCAGTATCCTGTCTTCCAACAGTGGCCAGTGCCAGGTAGTGATCCATCCCCTGTCGTTCATTCCCAGCTTCCGGCAAACAGGCTAGGGACACCATCCCTGCCCATCCTGGCTAATATCCATTGATGGACCTATCTGCCATGAATTTATCCAGTTCTTTTTTGAACCCTGTTATGGTCTTGGCCTTCACAACATCCTCTGGCGAGGAGGCACACAGGTTGACTGTGTGTTGTGTATAGAAATACTTCCTTTTATTTGTTTTAAACCTGCTGCCTTTTAATTTCATTTGGTGACCCCTAGTTCTTGTGTTATGAGAAGTAGTAAACAACACTTACTTATCTACGTTCTCTACACCAGTCATGATTTTATAGACCTCAATCATATCTTCCCTTAGCCTTCTCTTTTCCAAGCTGAAAAGTCCCAGTCTTATTAATCTCTCCTCAGACAGAAGCCGTTCCATACCACTAATCATTTTTGTTTCCCTTTTCTGAACCTTTTCCAATTCCAATATATCTTTTTTGAGATGGGGCGACCACATCTGCACACAGTATTCAAGATGTGGGCATACCATGGATTTATATAGAGGCAACATGATATTTTCTGTCCTATTTTCTATCCTTTTCTTAACTATTCCCAGTATTCTGTTAGCTTTTTGACTGCCGCTGCACATTGAGTGGATGTTTTCAGAGAACTAGCCACAATGATTCCAAGATCTTTCTTGAGTGGAGACAGCTAATTTAGACCCCATCATTTTATATGTCTAGTTGGGATTATGCTTTCCAATGTGCATTACTTTGCAATTATCAACATTAAATTTCATCTGCCATTTTGTTTATTGCTGCACTTATGGAAAAGTCCAATAGAATTTAATAGCAAAAAATAATAACCTTTCTATACATTTTTCAACCCTTCTGTCAAATTTAATAGACAATAATATCCCTGTTGTAGGATTCCATAGGATTGTTCAAGGAAACCTATAAGAGAAGGCATCATTCGCTTTTAAATGCTATAGGTTTTCAGAGCAATTTCTATAGAACATTATTTAATTTCTTAAGAACCCTACTGATTTCACCCTTTTACACCTCATAGGACAATGGACCTTAAGTCTGACATGTTCCCATTTCACACCTGTTCATTATATTAATATTTTCTCTCTCTCTCTCTCTTTTCTTTCCAGATTATGGGCTCAATCTTGGAGTCCTTACTCAGGCAATTCTCCCAGTGGATGTCAGCAGAGACGTAGGCTGTGGCTTTGTGAATGCAACGAGGGCCAAAAAACTGCTGCACAATTTAAACAAAGGCTCAAAGGTGAGATTAACGTTCGTGTTTCGTGTTCAGAGGAAAGTCGCAGGAAGCGTATTTGTTTGTTTGTGATGTTTGAATGGGAAGATCCTTAGCAGCTCTGGTTGTTGTTGATCATGGTGTATAAAAACCAGGTAGAAGAGAAACTTTATTTTCTCCCTGCTGTTATTATGTAGCACAGCAAAATCAGTAGCAATATTGAATAGACTGATATATTTTCAGTTTAAATCTGTTAACATTCAGGAACATATAATAACAGGAACCTATTTGGGGTGGGATCTTTACTGCTATTATGGGTAACAGCTATTAACAGAAAGGGAAACTGGTCAGGAGTGAGGTACAGTACTATCCAGAGGTGTGAAAGAGAGAGCTCCCAATATTCAGTTATGAGATTATAGATGGGTAAAGGCACAAATCATAGAATCGCTACTCGGGCAAATCTCCTTTTGAAGTCCATCAGCCTTACTTTGCATTGAAGGCAATGTGACTTTGTGGTGTGCAAAGAATGTAGGATTGGGCCAAATGTACCCCAAAGTGTTATCAGAGCAGCTGCAAAAAAAAAAAAAAATCCAGAGAATAAACAGCAAACTGGTAAATGATTCATTATTAGGGGGAGGAGGGAAGAACCAATGGGATTTCACAGTGTGAGGAGGTGTGTCCCCTGTGGTGTCTGTCCTCAGAACTTGGGAGGCATGTTTGCAAAAGCCACAGGACAGGCTGTTCTCTCTGAGGTGATTTCATAGCTGTTGCACATCCCAGGTGTTCACACTCCTCCCTTTCCACGTCTCATTCCCCTTGAACCAGCCTTTTCTTCATCTCCTATTTTCCCAGCAGACATGTCTAGCCTGGAGGAAATTTGTGGGGGACTTCCACTACATCCCCTGCTGGAAAACAGAGGGCGAAAGAAAGGAGTGCCTCACGCGCCTGTGAGAACCCCCAACCTCACCGCTCAGGAAGAAAAGGTAACACGGGGTTTGCAAGACCAAGATACTTCCTACCAGATACTAGCCACCAAAGCAGCAGGGCTTCTGCCTCAAATGCTCGACAGGGTTTGGGGGCCAAAGTACAAGGTCACTAAATAAGTTTCATTGTTGCTTTAATATCACTGAGCTGTCAGCTAACAGACAACGCCATGGGGACTCGTCTGCTTTCCACCTCATTGCTTCTCCCCAAAGAAAAGCTTGAGACACGTCGGTGGGGCAGTGTGGGAGCAGCTTGCATAGCGGTTTTTGGTGCTTTCTGGGGATAAATAGGGGACTTTTGGCTCTGTAGCTGTCAATCCAGCACTTTTCACTGGACATTTTATGAGCATCTCCTTTAAAAAAAAAATCCCTAGTGCAGGGGTGGGCAAACTACGGCCTTAGGGCGGGATCCGGCCCCCCCAGGCCTTTGGATCTGGCCCGCAGGCTTGCCCCCCGTGGCGTTGCAGGCCCCATGCTGCTCTCGGGCGGGGGCCAGAGGGCTCTGTTCATTGCCCTTGCCTTCAGGCACCCCCCTCCCCAGCTCCCATTGGCAGGGAATGGGGAACTGCGGCCAATGGGAGCTTCGGGGGAGGTATCTGGAGACAAGGCAACGGCAGCGCACGCGGAGCCCTCCCCCCCACCTTCTCCCTCCTCCCCCCCCAGGTGCCACAGCGCTTCCTGGAGCAGTGCAGGGCCAGGGACAGGGCAAGCATACAGAGAACCTGCCCTGGCTCCGGTGCACGCCGCTGCCACCCTGCAGCCCAAACCCCTCCTGCACCCTGCCCCCCAACTCCCTGCCCTAAGCCCCCTGCCTGCACCTCGCACCCCTCCTGAACCCCAACTCCCTGCCTTGAGCCCTCTCCTGCACCCCTGTGCATCCCAACCCCCTGCCCTGAGTCCCCTGCTGCACACTGCACCCCTCCTGCACCCCAACCCCCTTCCCTGAGCCCCCTCATACACCCTGGACCCCTCCTCTGCCCCCAATCCCTTGCCCTGAGCCCCTTCCTGCACACCTTACCCCCTCCCACACCCCACACTCCCTCCGCACCTCAACCCCCTGCCCCGGCCCTGCATTCAATTTCTAGGGTTACCATATTTAAAAAATAAAAAAAGAGGACACTCCACAGGCCCTAGCCCCGCCCCTTTCCCACCCCGCCCCCTCCCCAACTCCACCCTTTCCCCGCCCATTCCCCAAAGTCCCCGCCCTAACTCCCCCTCCTTCCTCCCAGCCACGCGAAAAGGGCTGCCCGAGCGCTACCAGCTTTACGGTTTGCTGGGCAGCCTCCAGACCCTGCGCCCCCGGCCGGCGCTTCCCCAGCGCAGCTGGAGCCCGGGAGGGGAAGTGCCCGGCCGGG